AAAGAGGATGACAAAATGCTAATACATTTGACCAAAACATTCTGCTGCAAAATTTTTTATTATTATACTGACAAAGTCTTCTGTGAGCCACCAGAAAAGATGATGTCTTCAGGATGTGAACACACACCACCATCTCTCCTTGTGACAAACGCAGCAGCGGCTTTCAGGACTTGTGGTATACCGCAGGTGGATACAGAGTATGAACCTGTTATCGATAAAATAGGTGGATGATCCGTTATAGCAGAGAAGTCCATATAAATATTCTGGCCAAACTTTTCCCAGATCTGCACATGTGAAATATTATTTCCTCACCCACGTGTCCTCCATTACAGGTATCCAGAAGCCTCTGTGCCCTCTCCCTGACATCTAGATGAAGGCTTTCTTCTTTGAGGAGCTCAGGGTATAAGCACACTGCCAAGACCTGGAAAAGCAAATAGGTAATGACAGACAAAGATGGGCTCAGTTTGTAGCTGCCAGGCTGATCACAGGGATGCAGACATGCAGGTTCATCAGACAGACAAACAAACCCACAGATAAAATGTAAAACACCAACCTGGCGAACAAATGAGATGGGTCTTATCCCTGCTCTGTGGGGATCACCTGAGCTGACGTCGATCACCCTCTTAAAAGGTTTATTAACACCCTGAGAAGAAAACAGTCTTGGTTTTGAATTTCTGCTGTGTGACAGTCTAATCTTCTTTTTCCTTAATTTATTCATCTCTTTATTTTTTTAATTTCCTGTTTCTGGTTATTGAATTGAAAATGTTTAGAGGCAGAGAATAAATCCATCCCAAACCTTGCACATAACAACCATGATTTATATTTGAAGATACACAGCAACTTCACATCGTGTATTTTCTACAAATGAAGGGGCATCTAAGAAGCATTGTAACTCTGAACCAGTGCATGCACGGATGTTTGCCAGTCTAGTCAGCATGCATGATACAGTGAGGTATATCAGCCGCTTTAAGTCTGATCCCACTCATAGGACCAATTTGCCTTGGGAGAACCAAGTAGGGGCTATTGCCCCTGACCACCATAACTCCAAAGTTAACGAGGACACAAAAACCCTCCTTTACACCAAGGTGGCAATTCTTTAAGGAGTTCTCCTTTGTCTTTGGTCCTGTTTATGATATTCATAGACAGAATCCAAGACACAGCCAGGGTGGGGAGGGTTTGTGGTTTGGGAAACTCAGAGTCATGTCACTGTTTTTTGTAGATCATGTGGTTCTGTTGCCTTCATCAGACCGTGCCCTTCAGCCTACAGTGGAGTGGTTTGCAGCCAGGGGACACCCTGGAAAGGTCGCCTGTCTATCACAGGGCTACACAGAGAGACAACCAAGCACACTCACATTCACACCTACGGACAATTTAGAATCACCAATTAACCTCAGCATGTTTTTGGACTGTGTGGGAGGAAGCCGGAGAAGCTGGTGAGAATCCACACTGCACAGGGAGAACATGCAAACTTCATACAGAAAGATCCTAGGTGTCCTAACCAGGGCACAAACCAGGGCGCTTCTAGCTGTAAGGTGATGGTGTATCCCCGGAACCACCATGCAGCCCCTTCTGACCATTTCCATCCATCCATCCATTATCTATACACCGCTTAATCCTCACTAGGGTCGCAGGGGGGCTGGAGTCTATCCCAGCTGACTTAGGGTGAAGGCAGGGGACACCCTGGACAGGTCGCCAGTCTGTCACAGGGCTGCACTTAGAGACAGACAAGCCAGCACACTCACATTCACACCTACGGACAATTTATAGCCACCAATTAACCTCAGCATGTTTTTAGACTGTAGGAGGAAGCCCAGAGAGAACCCACACTGCACGGGGAGAACATGCAAACTCCACGCAAAAAGATCCCAGTGTCCTCACTGGGACGTGAACCGGTGGCCTTGCTGTAAGGCAACGGTGCTAACCACCGAGCCACCTTGCAGCCCCCTTCTGACCATTTGATAGACAAAAAGGGTTTTTTTCATTCACAGTTCTTTTCATTTTGGTCATGGTGACTTTCCTTTGACTCTGAATAAAATCTCAATATGGCATGCCAAAATGAAAAAAATTAGAAATTGAGAAATTAGGCTGCTTTATTTTATTTATATAGCATCAATTTACAACATAAGTCATATCCATGCGCTTCACACTAAGGTCAAGACCTGACAATATTATAGAAACAAATGCAACATATCGAAAGATTCCCATTAAGCACCTTTTTAGTGACAGTGGGACGAAAAATCATCTGCTGTCATCTCACTTTTCCTTATAGCAGTATTAACTGGTAGAGTTAGGGTCTACAGTGGTGCTCAGAAGGCTTCAGGTATTCCAGCTGTGACTCACCTGTGAGATCTGCTCTGTGATGGGTGCAGCCAGACTCTGCAGGCTTGTTGTGGTTCTGATCCCACGCACCACAGGATTCACCTCCTGCAGGGAGCTCATCTCTGTCTGCTCCAACCAACTGATGAGGGTTCACTGAGACACCTGACAGTATACTCAGGATGCAGCTGGTAATCTAATAATCATAGTGATTTATAAAACAAACAAAAAAAAAAAGATAAAATACTCATCGTCTTTGAATAATAATCTGCAGCACCTGATAACAAACATTCAGCTTTCTGATCCATTTAACCAATTTGTTTAAGAGAATGAACTGCAACTTGATTCATTTTGATTCATATTTACAGTTCTGTTATTTGAATCAAGTATTTATTTTTTCCCTGATCATAAATGAACAATGCTTCAATGGTTGTGTGGTAGCATGCATTTTTCATATGTGTGGCCACATGGGAAAACCAAAAGTCACAAGTGAATTTTAGGAATTCTATTGTGCTTTTGTCGTGTAGAGGCTGAAAACTATGTTAATATGAGTGACATGTTTTGTGTTTTAGTTGGTTTTAAGTTTTATTTTTCCATTACTCCTCCTCCATCATCCATCTTTTTGTGCTCCCTCATTTTCTTTCAGTATGTGGTGTACGGCGGCTCTGCACCCTCCAGCTGGCTGATTAGACACACCTGCAATTCATCTCACCTCACCAGCAGCTGTGTGTAACACTGACTCTTCTGCTCTCCAGAGTCAGAACATTCTGCTACATTGGTGCAGCCACAGTGACTCTCTGGCTAACTCAAGTGCTTCTAGTTTGCAACCCTCCTGGTCACCGCTGTTCTCATGTGTAGATCATCTGTGTGCCTTATTGCCAGTTGCTCATTCTGCTGAACTGTGCTCCAGTGTCCCATATGCTCAGCCCTCACCGTCAGACATTCTATACCATTCTCCAGCTGTTCATATGCAGGCAGCCTTCATTCATCTCTTGCCACAACTTCAGCCAGAGGGAATATACAGAACATTTCTTGCGATTTCTAAAATGGTGCAGTCTTTGGAGACAAAGGTATTCTGACCTTCAAGTAAGTGCACAGCGATGTAAGAACTATTCAAAGAGAACCTTCATACAAGTTCAAGAACTACACTGAATAATAACTCAGAAATACAAACAAAAGTACAAAATACCTGAAATTTGCTGAAAAACTACAACTCATTTGCAAATAATTATTGTAATAGTTCTGCATTTTAATTCATATAAAATCAGAAAGGCAAAAATGTTAATTTTTAAACTGAGTATTTACATTGTACTTAGCTAAAGGATCTGAAAGATCGGTAATAAACATCTACATTAATTTTAAATTTTTAAAATGAGAGTAAAGTAAAAATGTGCAGATTTAGCTTTTCGGTTATTCTCCACAGAGTTTAAGGAGATCTGCCTGAGATTCTGTCTGAGATATCACTCTAACTAGTTAACTTTCCATCAGTCTGAACCTAAAGAGCCCTCCACCTCCCACACTTCTACAGAGACAGGATTATGGAGTCCCTGACTGTCATTAAGAAGAGCGGCTAAAGTGTAACTGGAGTCAGGCCTGAAAACCCAGAGTTGCCCCAATTACTCTCTCACTATACCCACACTGACAGCTGTTATTGCCCTCTAGCAAATTCGAATAGGTGGCTGATAGATAACTAATGACATCCTACAGTTAGATTGAGAATGTAGCGCTCACATACCTTCACGTCCTCTCCATCTACTGCAGCTTTTCATGCTGGTTAATGATTTTGAGCCAGGTGTCTTCTTTTACAACCTTTGCACCTGATGATGTCGTTCCCAATTGTTTTCATATCTCTGTAGTATTGTGCCTGCTCTGGATCCTACACTATAACAATCCAGTTGCTTTTACTGGTCGAAGCAAAACTAATGTAACAGAGGAACTTTGGATTGGGCATCAGAGGGAGAACAGGTTGCTGCACATTACAAGACGCATACAGGCCAGGAAAGTATTACATGTACTGGAGTTACTTTTTAATCTGAACGGAGCGGTATCCTACGGAGCCCGTAAAGGGACATTGGCAGATTTTTATTTATTTATTTATTTATTTATTTATTTATTTATTTATTTATTTATTTATTTATTTATTTATTTATTTATTTATTTATTTATTTATTTAATTAATGTAGTTTCTCGGTACATAGTTTCGAGATCGTTCCCCGTTTGTACACACTGCAGCATCAACACACTGGCATCAACAACTCTTTAACGAAACGTCATCAACACACAAATTATGCCTCTTTACCATCAGTGTGAGGTGGACAATAAACTACATGATCATTTTTATCAAAACTTGCTGTTTTTCGTGCAGCACAAATAACATTGGTCTCCATGTGCAGTCAGCTGTGCGACCACAGCGCAGGGACCGTCTGCAAATTGCAACACTGCTGCTACAGCGAAGACACACACACTACAAACATATCTAATAGCGTCCCTGGTATTCACTGCAGTGTCACCAAAGTCACTACAGCCGTCGCTTCTCTCCTCGTGATCATACTACAACACTTGGTTGCACAAGAAATATACGTTTTCATATTTTTTTTAATTTTTATGAATTTTAATTTCAATAGCTTCACTGTACTGCACACCAATGAAACTCTGTCCAGCCACAATAGAGGCTCTGCTGATCATACTACACCTGCTAGTTTGACAGAAAAAAAGCTATTAAATTAATTTAAACATTCTGGTTTCAATTAAGGTGTCCTATTTTTATTTTCTCACATTTGTCAGTGGTGGCAGTCTGAAAAGTTTATTGGTTTATTAGTGTCCAATTCTCTGTGTGGTGAGGAAGTTTAATTACTATATAGTATCATGTATTTGGTCAAACTGGTGCACTGTGGACCTATGCCATTTTTACTGTGCAGTGTATAAAATACAGCATCACATACATCAAAAGAAGTGCCATCAAAGTTAGGTTTAATCATTACACTTCACACACAAGCACACACACTAAAATATGTATTAATATAACTTTACATGGCAAACAACAGCCTTCCTCACGTACAGCCTCTTCAACTGTGGCTGCTGCACAACATACAATACCAAGGAGTATCTGTGTTTAGCATCTGTGCTACTGTCATTCCAAGGCAAGGAGTGTGAAACCATCTTGTGCAAATTCCACACTGAATCTAGATGGGAAGAAATGTATGAAACATACAGCAAAAATGTTAACTTTGGGAATGCATAAAAGTGTACAATATTTAATTGATTTAATTTTATCTCTGGATTGACAGTCAATAGTATCTAATATTCATATTATTTATTGTTTTGAAACAGCTAAACTAACTTCACCCAGACAGCATCAACTGCTGTCTTGGGCAGGTCCTCACTTCCACAAAATAAACAGAAATCCTCCTTTGAAACTGAAACCAATGTATAAATAGGTTTAAATAAATAAATAAAATAAAAATACATTAAAAAAAATATTAAGTTGGTAGCAGGTGCTCATCATAGTAATTTAATTTTTAGAACAATACCTGATCCTTTGAGAATTTCCTCTGCCATGTCCCTTCATAGACGCTGAAGAGACTGTTTTGATGAGTCAATGTTAAATGACTGTGGGACATTTGGAAATTCCATCACTGTCATTTGGCCATCTGTACAGTTAGCAGAAAACACATTTTCTATGTATGACAGGTAGACATGCATAGCTCAACTCAAAAATAAATAAATATATAAACATAAAATTACTTACATATAAAGATGCAGTGGAAGTGGAGATGAAATTTCCAGGACATCCAAGTGCAATCCTTTTCTTCATGAAAGTTATGCAGACTGAAAAGATGGCTCAGGCAGAGCTTAATTGAAAGCTGCCCCTGATTGGCTAGTGGCTTGGTGCTTTTGCATCCTTGTGTGATTGGTTGAAAGAGAGTGGTCATGATGCAGCAGCATCATCCCTTATCCATGTGAAAATGAAGGCAAAATTGAAATCTCCAAATTGAGTTTTAATGTAGGACAAGGAGGAGACCGTTACTGTGTGGGATTTTTGATGATTCTCAAGTAGAGTACAGTGAAATTATTGACATTTAATATTAATAAATATTCATAAAAATTATGAAAAGGTTTTTTTTTTTGTCAAACTAAGAGGTGTAGTATGATCAGCAGAGCTTCTGTTGTGGCTGGACAGAGTTTCATTGGTGTACAGTACAGTGAGTTGTTGAAATTAATCTAAAAAATCATAAAAAATATGAAAATGAATATTTTTGGTGAAACCATGTGTTGTAGTATGATCAGTAGGAGAGAAGTGATGGCTGTAGTGACTTTGGTGACACTGCAGTGAGCTCCTGAGCACGAGAAACTACTTTTTTTTTTTTTTTTTTTAATCTGCTAATGTCCCTTTAGGGGCTCCGTAGTATCCAGTATTTCCAGCTTTTCTACACATTTTTGCACACATATTGGTACAGAATGAGATCTACTCCCACGATTCTCATGTGGAATTACTTGTATTGAAGTTGTTTTTTTTTCTGGATGAGTCCTGAGCTCCATCTGAACTGTGATTCAGTGTGTTGCCAGTAGGCGGCAGTCAAACACAAACATGTGTTTCCCTCCGTCATCCTCCCTCCATGCCCATCCCTGCTGCTTCCTGTTTCTCCAGCTGACTGCACACACACTTCAGGTCAGTAAAAGCTGCGAAATCCGAGTACACCTTCATGTAGTTTGCAGCAGACTGCACGCAACATTACGTTGTCTTTGTAATGAACGTACAATTTGATTGAAAACTTGCTGTTAAAGTTTGCTGTGTTGCATGCCAGACCTAGTTGCCGATTACACCGGGTCTCTCCTGTCGTGGAACTAACGTGTTATTGTTCCTGCTCTTGTCTTGATCATCTATGGGCAGATGCAGACATGAACTATGTTGTTTTTCCAATTAAGATTAGATAACATAAGATGATTCTTTATTAATTCCACAGTAGGACAACTTACAGTGTTGCAGCAGCAGAGGGGATGGTGCAAAAACATCAGTAAAAAATGAGGTCTTGGATTTTCTTGATAAAAATCATGCAGAAGCTTCTGCCTAAACCATGGAGCCTTGCAACATAACATTTTGATATGACAAAACAAAATGGTTC